ATGTGACGATATTTAAAGCTAATTCCCACTTCAGTGGATCCACCACATATTCGACTCCCATCAGGGATCATAGTGCTATTTGATTAGCTTTTTCTCGTACACCAAACGCTCCTCCCGGGCCCGTTAAGTGGTAGTACCAAACTCGTCTGGGAGTATGGAAGCACTAACTTATACATCGCCTAACCATCGCACTTCATAGTATGAACTTCATATATACGCAATCAAAGCCACTACGATCCTGAATAAAAGCCAAATGCGGAACGCGCTCTTCAGAAGGAACTGATCAATGCCATAAGACTTCATGCTTATCTTTACATCTACCTATGGGAGGAAATGGCAAAGTGAGCACCTGTCGGCATCTTCCAATCATATACAATAGAAAAAACTTATACGATAAAAATCATATATAATAGGAAACATCAATTCGACGCTTCCATATTTGCCCACATCCCTCAGCTTACAATCATCCAATTTGAAAGCTACCTCCTTCCTTCCACTCTACCTACACCTTTATTAGTAAAGCGTCCAGCTTTTTAGAATCTGAGAGAGAGACTCTAACTGATCGGTGGGAGACTGATGGCGGAAACTTTCAGAAGACATAAATTCACTTCGAAATGAGATACTGTAAAATGAAAAATCCGACCGAAAGCGAAATCAGAAACGCTTAACTAGTAGATTAAAAAATATGAAGAATGTCGAACTTATGATGATAGTTACAACAAACATTAAACTTCCTCGTAACTACTTCCACTACATTTCAAAAGCCCTCACATACTATACCCTTCTGCCTAGAGTTTGCCAACTAGGGTATCAACATGGTGGGGTGAATTTTGAGTGGAGTGCTGCGCCGCGTAGTCGTGGTCGATATTGGAGAGCAATAAAATTGAAATGAAAAGAGTTGGAGCTCCAGTCAAGTGCACTTTTCACATCAATGAATAGGAAAAGGTTTTCCATTAAAAGGTCTGATGAAGAGGAGGTCAAAGAAATGTCATGGAAAATATCGGATATCCGAAAAAACCTCCGTCGATGATGTGGCGCGAAGAAATCTCATCAAATACTTGATTTATGAGAAGCT